TGAATTATAAAGGGAAATAACTTTAATAAACAAGGGGATGATACCCAAGTTGGTTAACACGATGCGCGGAGTTCTCTCTCAGCGGATATCATATTTCCCCAGCTTCAAGATGACATAGACGGGCAAGGATTTCTCTTCAACACAAGGTAAACCATTCTAAACATTGCGCAGCGGCCACTGGTTAAGGGTTCATGTTATCAAGACCTTTCGTGATATAATGCAAGGCTTTTACTAGACTCAATGTTCGATGATGCTAGGTTTATTCAAGTCTCAATGTTTTATGATGCTAGGTTTATACAAGTCTATGTTCAATAATGCTAGGTTTATACAAGTCTCAATGTTCTATGATGCTAGGTTTATACAAGTCTCAATGTTCTATGCTGCTAGGTTTATACACGTCTCAATGTTCTATGATGCTAGGTTTATACAAGTCTCAATGTTCTATGATGCTAGGTTTATACAAGTCTCAATGTTCTATGATGCTAGGTTTATACACGTCTCAATGTTCTATGATGCTAGGTTTATACAAGTCGCAATGTTCTATGATGCTAGGTTTATACAAGTCTCAATGTTCAATGATGCTAGGTTTATACAAGTCTCAATGTTCTATGATGCTAGGTTTATACAAGTCTCAATGTTCTATGATGCTAGGTTTATACAAGTCTCAATGTTCTATGATGCTAGGTTTATACACGTCTCAATGTTCTATGATGCTAGGTTTATACAAGTCGCAATGTTCTATGATGCTAGGTTTATACAAGTCTCAATGTTCAATGATGCTAGGTTTATACAAGTCTCAATGTTCAATGATGCTAGGTTTATACAAGTCTCAATGTTCAATGATGCTAGGTTTATTCAAGTCTCAATGTTTTATGATGCTAGGTTTATACAAGTCTCAATGTTCAATGATGCTAGGTTTATACAAGTCTCAATGTTCTATGATGCTAGGTTTATACAAGTCTCAATGTTCAATGATGCTAGGTTTATACAAGTCTCAATGTTCAATATTTGTTTTATCATAACCTCGTACTCCCGTTTGAGTTCATGATACAGATTTAAAAAAAATAATTCTAGCCATGTTTTTCTTGACTTGGTGAAGATTAGCCTAAATTCTCACCACACGATATAAACTGATGTTACGGCATACAACATATTGTTACAATATACAACATATTGTTACAGTATACAACATATTGTTACAGTATACAACATATTCATACGTCCAAGCAGTGCGGACAGCTGAGAGAGTTTATATTCTGACTGGCGGTTGTTGTTGGTGGTTTTTGACCAACCCCTCCTCCCAGCAAGTTACGTAACAGCTGCTTGAGACATTTGACTTTGAAATAGATCTGATCATTACCCCGAGTCAGGGTCTGTGTAAATAGGGTGAGGGTGAGGGTGGGGTGGGGTGGGGTGGGGGGGGACTGTCAAATCTCACATTTCTCACCCCTTGGCTGAGGTGAATAATTCGTTGCGTCTTTATCTTTAGTAAAACAAAACTCATACATTTACAATGACAAGATTTCAAATCAAATAACAACGATAAAATAAACTTGATTCTTTAGTTAAAACTTTGGTAGTTGTAATGATGTATCGGATTATATCAGCAACCAGGCCTCTACTTTAGAAAATTGAAATCGTGAAATGTGCAATGGGCTGTTTCTTCCTGTGCTTTCTACTGACGGACAGTTGGAAAGCACGGATCATTTACAACATAACATTGGCTTTGGTAAAAATCCCATGAAAAGTAGTCGTTTTGTTTTTACAATTTATTTCATTATATACATTTCACTTTTAAATAAATTGATTTTTTAATGCAGAATTACTAGTATTCAGTTATCGGTAGGACTATATCTTTACTAGTTAAAGTAATAAATATATATTTATTACTGCTGACAGATTTTAATTTTGAAATAAAATAAACAATTATGTTAATTTCTTTACTTATAAAGAATTTTTATACCGTTATACAAAATATTAAGTTTCTTTTTAAATTAAAAAGCAAATTTTGACCGTGTTCAGTATTCTTGAATTCCTTTGTAATTTAAAGAATTTTTGAAATATTTTATAAAAGTTGTATCCCTTGTTTGTGTTTCAATACATGCAAAGCAACTAAAACAAAATTTAAACTACATTTAATATTTAAACAAATCGGTCTCAATAGTCTAATCAGAGACGGAATTACAAAAAGCCCCCCCCCCCCCCTTCCCTTGGACCTCCTGTATATATATATATATATATAAATATATATATATATATATATATATATATATATATATATATATATTATATATTATATATATATATATATATATATATATATATATATATATATATATATATATATATATTATATTATATATATTATATATATTATATATATTATATAATATTATATATATATATATATATATATATATATATATATATTATATATATATATATATATATATATTATATATTATATATATTATATATATTATATATATATATATATATATATATATATATATATATATATATATATATATATATATATATATATATATATATATATATATATATATATATATATATATATATATATATATATATATATATATATATATATATATATATATATATATATATATATATATATATATATATATATATATATATATATATATATATACTGATGTATTCTTAATTAAATTATTTAACCTATTACATTGCAAACTATATTCACTATCCACAAAAATAATGCCCGCACTCAACAAATGACTGAAACAATAGAGATACAAAAATTAAAATGTTTGTAGCTGATTGTTTTTTTCTTGTTTCTCATTTCACGATCGCCGAACACGGTGATAAAATGTAATTACAAATCTGACATGCCTGTGTGTATGCAACACGGAGAATTGATATGTTTAATGGTTTCCTGAGTTTGATTTATCGCAATGTTTCCTAGTATTTACAATAATATTTTTAAATGAATTATTTTTTTTTTATAGATATGTCATTCTTTGGTATGCCTTATTTAAATTATAATTAATAATTCTTTTTGGAAAAGAAACGCCAGCAGACTAATAAATTAATGTTTAAAAAGCGTATTAAAAGCGTATGTTTCTCAAAACTAGCATAAATACTTTCGAAGTTTATCTTTAGAACTATCAGGCATAAAATTGTATACCGCGGGTTGCGATATGGAACGCTAGAACTCTAAATTGAGCCAGATGTTCACTTTTTAAATCAAGGACTTCACACTTCGCTAAAATATAATCTGTTTTTTTTTTAAAATAATGTTTTGGGGACCTATTTGACTATTTAAAGAATCGAATCTCCCCTCCCCCCTTTAAATTATTTAATGGAGGGGGAGTTATGGTGAACCTTCAATTCGAGTATTTTCACGAGTCTTATGGCCCCACCCCCTCCCCGACACACACCATTCGACTATTTTATGAAGTTTTGTTGGCCCCTTTATTAGACTAGGTTAAGAAGCTTTATGGCCACCCTATTGGGCTATTTAAACAAGAACAATACACCGAAGAGCAGTTTAAACGTACAAACCGCTGAAAGAGACCTATTTGGTTTTTAAACCCACTACCATTGTGCACGAAAAAAAAAAATGTTGAATAGAAATCTTTACTTTTATTTTATTTATGGTCGGATTTTGAACCTCCACCCCCACCCAGGTTTTGGAACTCCAAAGCCCCCCCCCCCCCCCCCCTGTCCCACCGTCCCTCGCGTTGTGGTCCCTGACAGTACCGAAGTTCCACCACTGACTCGAATGTGAAAATACGTATAACATGTTGTAATACATTGTTATATCGATAAAAGTTTTATATATATATATATATATATATATATATATATATATATATATATATATATATATATATATATATATATATATATATATATAATCTTTACTTTTATATCTATTTATTGTCATACTACAAATTTGTTATTTGTGTTCAAGTTGTCCAACTCTACTTTATGGCCAGCTATTTCTAGTTTTCAAATATTGATTACATTTGTACTTTGTTAGGAGATTTATGTCGGTGCTCGATGTGAAAGTGCGTGAGTGTACGAAAGGGGGTGAAGGGGGGGGGGGGGGATATGGGAGTAGAGGTGTGGTGGGGGGTTGATACATGTTCAAATCCCTTGTGTAAAACGTGGAAACTCGGAATGAAATCAAAGGTTCATGTCAATTCTTGCTTTCTGGTAGAATAGAACAGTTGGTGATGCCAATCAAAGGTTCATGTCAATTCTTGCTCTCTGGTAGAATAGAACAGTTGGTGATGCCAATCAAAGGTTCATGTCAATTCTTGCTCTCTGGTAGAATAGAACAGTTGGTGATGCCAATCAAAGTTTCATGTCAATTCTTGCTCTCTGGTAGAATAGAACAGTTGGTGATGCCAATCAAAGGTTCATGTCAATTCTTGCTCTCTGGTAGAATAGAACAGTTGGTGATGCCAATCAAAGGTTCATGTCAATTCTTGCTCTCTGGTAGAATAAAACTGTTGGTGATGCCAATAAAAGTTTGAAGAAAACAAAGTCTGGTGTTTGCAACAAAAAGCGCCACCTGACGGTCGAAAATTTTTAGCTGTCACTACCAGCTGGCAATAAAAGAGAGAAAACTAAATCCTGATCTAAATATAGAAACAAAAAGAGCTGATCGATTTTAAAGTTATTTGACTCATGCTGCCTGCCAGTTGGTTTATTTGATGGAACGGCAGGTCAAATCTTCTGGAAACAATGGCAGGGGTGGGGGGGGGGGGGGGGGGGCGGAGATTTTAGGACGAGGGTTAACTAACTCTATCTTGGTTTGTGTTTTAATGGTAGAAATGGGGTGGGGGTGGCGGGGTAAAAAGCTCAGATTAAAGATGGCTAAAATTTGTTATGGGGTGGGGGTGGCGAGGTTTAAGATGGCTAAAATGTGTTAGTGTGTTGATCTATTTGTTTGACTGCATGTATGTTCAAGTGTTCTAGCGTGCCTTCAAAGTCCTCGACCTCGCTCAACTGCAGTACCACACCTGCCACATTGAGTCAACTTTTGGTGAATTTAAAATGTCAACTTTTGGTGGATTTAAAATGTCAACTTTTGGTGGATTTAAAATGTCAACTTTAGGTGGATTTAAAATGTCAACTTTTGGTGGATTTAAAATGTCAACTTTAGGTGGATTTAAAATGTCAACTTTTGGTGGATTTAAAATGTCAACTTTTGGTGGATTTAAAATGTCAACTTTTGGTGGATTTAAAATGTCAACTTTTGGTGGATTTAAAATGTCAACTTTTGGTGGATTTAAAATGTCAACTTTTGGTGGATTTACAATGTCAACTTTTGGTGGATTTAAAATGTCAACTTTTGGTGGATTTAAAATGTCAACTTTTGGTGGATTTACAATGTCAACTTTTGGTGGATTTAAAATGTCAACTTTTGGTGGATTTACAATGTCAACTTTTGGTGGATTTAAAATGTCAACTTTTGGTGGATTTAAAATGTCAACTTTTGGTGGATTTAAAATTTCATCTTTTTGGTGGATTAAAATGTCAATCATTTGTGGTTTGGAATTGTCGACTTTTGGCGGATGTAACATGTCAAGGGTCGGGAATGTGCTGAAGTACCTCCCTTGCAACGTGATTTGATGGTGCATGTTTCTGATAATATTTGCAACTTGTGTAGCTAATAGATCATTTGTGTGAATATCTGATCTATCCGTGTTGACATCAAATTACATAGATAAGTGTTGCGAACACATATCTTGCACCAAATTACCGCCACAGTAGCTTCCACTGTCTACTTTGTTTTCTTTTAATTAAAAAAAAGATATTTAAGGCGACGCTACCCTCATGGTTCTATCCGGCAATTACCTCCCTTTGAAACTATCGTTTCACTGCAAGGAGCCGATAACTACTCCATGACTCAAGCCACTGGACAAGGACCCTACAACAAAAGTCGAGGTTTTCCTCTCAAGTTTTTCTCAGGTCTGGAGAAATTGAATGACACCGCGAGGTGGACTAATGCGGGCCAGCTTTGCTTGAGATCAGACAGCGGCTCCCCCGGGGAGGGGGTAAGGCCATCTAAGACTCAATGGGATTTCAGCAGCTTAGAAACTTGGGGCAGGTGTCCGGGTGGTACAAATGTGCTTGTTCCCACTGAATTAGCCACATCAACAAGAGAGATAGAGAGATATGTGGGCCAGTTGTTCCCACTGAATTAGCCACATCAACAAGAGAGATATGTGGGCCAGTTGTTCCCACTGAATAAGCCACATCAACTAGAGAGATATGTGGGCCTGTTGTTCCCACTGAATTAGCCACATCAACTAGAGAGATAGAGAGATATGTGGGCCAGTTGTTCCCACTGAATTAGCCACATCAACAGGAGAGATATGTAGGTCAGTTGTTCCCACTGAATTAGCCACATCAACAAAAGAGATATAAGGGCCAGTTGTTCCCACTGAATTAGCCACATCAACAAGAGAGATATGTGGGCCAGTTGTTCCCACTGAATTAGCCACATCAACAAGAGAGATATGTAGGTCAGTTGTTCCCACTGAATTAGCCACATCAACAAAAGAGATATAAGGGCCAGTTGTTCCCACTGAATTAGCCACAACAACAAGAGAGATAGAGAGATATGTGGTCCAGCTGTTCCCACTGAATTAGCCACATCAACAGAGAGATATGTGGGCCAGTTGTTCCCACTGAATTAGCCTCATCAACAAGAGAGATATGTGGGCCAGTTGTTCCTACTGAATTAGCCACATCAACAAGAGAGATATGTGGGCCAGTTGTTCCCACTGAATTAGCCACATCAACAAGAGAGATATGTGGGCCAGTTGTTCCCACTGAATTAGCCACATCAACATATAGAGAGATATGTGGGCCAGTTGTTCCCACTGAATTAGCCACATCAACAAAAGAGATATGTGGTCCAGTTGTTCCCACTGAATTAGCCACATCAACAAGAGAGATATGTGGTCCAGTTGTTCCCACTGAATTAGCCTCATCAACAAGAGAGATATGTGGGCCAGTTGTTCCCACTGAATTAGCCACATCAACAAGAGAGATATGTGGGCCAGTTGTTCCCACTGAATTAGCCACATCAACAAGAGAGATATGTGGGCCAGTTGTTCCCACTGAATTAGCCACATCAACAAGAGAGATATGTGGGCCAGTTGTTCCCACTGAATTAGCCACATCAACAAGAGAGATATGTGGGCCAGTTGTTCCCACTGAATTAGCCACATCAACAAGAGAGATATGTGGGCCAGTTGTTCCCACTGAATTAGCCACATCAACAAGAGAGATATGTGGGCCAGTTGTTCCCACTGAATTAGCCTCATCAACAAGAGAGATAGAGAGATATGTGGGTCAGTTGTTCCCACTTAATTAGCCTCATCAACAAGAGAGATAGAGAGATATGTGGGCCAGTTGTTCCAGTGAAGCAGAAGCAGACGGAATGTTATGGAGTTATCTTGGAGGAACCGTCCAGAACCGAGTACGATGGAGTGGTGTTGTTGTGTCTCTATGCTCCACAAGGGTCCACAGGAATGCAGATGGTGATGAGGGGTCCACAGGAATGCAAATGGTGATGAGGGGTCCACAGGAATAAAAATGATGAGTTGTACGCTTGAGATAACTACCGACAGCTAGTAGACGAACTTAAAAACAAACATCCTCCGCGACAAAACAGGCAACAAGTTTAACACAATCCCATAGGTCGAAGATTTGATCTGAAATCAAACGACCTTTGAAGAGATCAATATTTAAACACTTACCCCCTCCCGGGGACGTTAATTTACAAGAAATTGCCCGTCTCCCTTCAGTTTCCGGTCATTTGAAAGTACGGCTGTCTGCCGGCTAGGGACTACCGGATATTTATGACGGCACGTTAGTGTCTAGTGGCCATAAGTGTCGAGTACTAGTGGCCATAAGTGTCTAGTGGCCATAAGTGTCGAGTACTAGTGGCCATAAGTGTCTAGTGGCCATAAGTGTCGAGTACTAGTGGCCATAAGTGTCTAGTACTAGTGGCCATAAGTGTCTAGTGGCCATAAGTGTCGAGTACTAGTGGCCATAAGCGTCTAGTGGCCATAAGTGTCTAGTAATAGTGGCCATAAGTGTCGAGTACTAGTGGCCATAAGCGTCTAGTGGCCATAAGTGTCTTGTGGCCACAAGTGTCGAGTACTAGTGGCCATAAGCGTCTAGTGGCCATAAGTGTCTAGTACTAGTGGCCATATGTGTCTAGTGGCCACAAGTGTCGAGTACTAGTGGCCATAAGTGTCTAGTGGCCATAAGTGTCGAGTACTAGTGGCCATAAGTGTCTAGTGGCCACAAGTGTCGAGTACTAGTGGCCATAAGTGTCTAGTGGCCATAAGTGTCTAGTACTAGTGGCCATAAGTGTCGAGTATTAGTGGCCCGATGTGTCGAGTACTAGTGGCCATAAGTGTCGAGTATTAGTGGCCCGATGTGTCGAGTACTAGTGGCCATAAGTGTCGAGTATTAGTGGCCCGATGTGTCGAGTACTAGTGGCCATAAGTTTCGAGTACTAGTGACAATACGTGACGAGTACCTGGTTCTCGGGTATTTGTTGAGATTAGTGTCCAAGACTTGTGGGCATTTTATTAGGATAAAATTATTGGGTGCGTTTTATTATCTTATCAGTCACCATTTTGAAATTGATGTCTCTGTATTATGACACCTGTCCATCTGATGTATTATGACAACTATCTGATGTATTATGACACCAGTCTATCTGATGTATTATGACACCTGTCTATCTGATGTATTATGACACCAGTCTATCTCATGTATTATGACACCAGACTATCTCATGTATTATGACACCAGTCTAACTGATGTATTATGACACCAGACTATCTCATGTATTATGACACCAGTCTATCTCATGTATTATGACACCAGTCTAACTGATGTATTATGACACCTATCTGATGTATTATGACACCTATCTGATGTATTATGACACCTATCTGATGTATTATGACACCTATCTGATGTATTATGACACCTATCTGATGTATTATGACACCAGTCTGTCTGATGTATTATGACACCTATCTGATGTATTATGACACCAGTCTATCTGATGTATTATGCCACCAGTCTATCTGATGTATTATGACACGAGTCTATCTGATGTATTATGACACCTATCTGATCTTTTATGAAACCAGTCTGTCTGATGTATTATGACACCTATCTGATGTATTATGACACCTATCTGATGTATTATGAAACCAGTCTATCTGATGTATTATGACACCTATCTGATGTATTATGACACCAGTCTATCTGAAGTACTATGACACCAGCAGAAGATGTACTATCTGGACCATCACATATCTGGTGCCAGTACCCAGCTTTCATGTTTTTATCTCGGCATCTCCTGGGAATCTTTGACAAACAAGTCAAAATGTGTACCCTACAGCCACACACAGCACCACAGTTACATCCCTTTCTTTCTCAGTATCCTTAGAGTCACGTACCTTGATTCTCTCAACATTATATACAGTGGTACATCCCTTTCTTTCTCTCGTGAACATTATATTCAGTTGTATCTCTTTTCTTCTCTCATTAACCAAAAATAGTGGTAGGCCTACATCTCTTTTCTTCTAATCATCCATAAAAGTTTGTTCCCTAATTCTCTCAACAAAGAGCGTCTTATTCTTAACATTATCCAAATCTACTTCCTTTCATATTTTTAACAACATTATCCAAGGTTACTTACCTCCATTGACTTAACAACAATATCCAAGGTTACTCCCCTTTATATTCTTAACACCGTTATCCAAGGTTACTCTCCTTTATATTCTTAACAACAATATCCAAGGTTACTCCCCTTTATATTAACAACATTGTCCAACCCTCCCTTCATATTTTAACAACATTATCCAAGGTTACTTCCCTCCTATTTTAAACAACTTTATCCAGTTACTTCCCTCCTATTTTAAACAACTTTATCCAGTTACTTCCCTCCTATTTTAAACAACTTTATCCAGTTACTTCCCTCAATTTTCTAACATTATCCACACAGTTTTGTAGCGTAATTCTCTCAAAAATTGTATCCCAGGAGATACGTACTTTCCCATCTCTCCACACAACGACACGCCCCTGCCTTCCATCAAACTTCAAATATTTAAAACATGAAACCCCATCTTTGATCAGTTTCTAATCCTTTGAAACATTAGCTTCCATGATATAATGAGCCATATAATAAGCCCAAGCGTTTAATCTTTCGAATATTCGTTGGCTGGCTATTGATATGAGACTAATTTAATAAATAAATAACCGGTGGTTAACTATATTGATGAAAACAACACATGCTTGAGAATCTGCTTTGTTGTGGATTTGAGGGGATTTGCTCAGTTTACTTCTATTTTAACAGTTTAAGATCTAAAGTCTTTTGAATACTTTTACCATGTTTCACACATGAGAGTAAGTATTAAACAGCAAGAAAAAGGTTAAAAACAATTTTTTTTGTCATGGGAACCCGAAAAAATTTCCCCCTTTAAAATTTTTTCGGTACTTTTAAAAACGCTAAGGCTTTTTTATTTATGCACTTATAGCAATCCAATAGTGCTTGTAAGTCTGCGGTCTCGAAATCTACTAGCTTGCAAGTACGAGAACG